TCCAGCCCTGCCATGTTTGCAACTACCTACTCTGCCTATATTATCAATAAAGACAATTTCCTAGGGCCCTGCAGCCCCTGTGCTTCACCAGCCCCCTGCCACATCTGCAGCCCCAGTGAGAGGTGATGCCAGTGCCCAGCAGCCCTGTGTTTATTCTGTGGCCACAGTATTGCGGCTGAGGGTCTTGTTGAAAACAGGTTGGTCGAGGAAGAGCAAGAGGGGGGTGGGGGGTGCCCCTTCCAGCTCCAGCACTGTGATGTTGTTGGGACAGTCAACATGCAGCACTGAGCCAGGCACGAAGAGGGTCTGCTGGGGCCCACGGTGCGTCCAGTACCGGCCCAAGTTGAAGCCATTTATCCATAGCTGGCCCTGGAAGATGGTGGAAATGGGACTGCGCTGTGTCCTGCTCCACCCTCACCTCGCTATGCTCTGCCTTACCTTGGTCCAACCTGGGAACTTAACAAAGGTGTCCCAGGCAATGCCAGAGGTCTCAAAGGTCCCGGTGTAGAAGGCTGGCCCTGCTCTGCTCCCATTGCTTGATTTTGGCAGGGCAGTGTGGGGCCAGCCCTGCTGGACTGCAGTGTCTATGGCTAGGGGATAGATCAGCCAGTTGCTGAGAGGGCTGGAGTCCAAGGAGAGGTTTCCCAGCAAGCCCTGAGATAGAACAGGAGTGAAAATGAGGCAGCAGTGTCTGCCACAGTCAGGAGGATGCTTGCATTCCCCAAGGCATGTCCCGCTTGCAGCAGTGGAGGTGGGATGGAAACCCCTTCAAGGAAGTTGAAGAGCCTATGGCAGCCTAAGTGGGAGTGGGGTGCCAGTCTCTCAACCCTATCCTGGCAGGTTTGCTAGGGGATAGAAACAGCGAGCAGAACGGGCTGGCCCTGTCAAGGCTGGGGTCTGTCTCAGGTGGCAGTAGAGGGAGTGTTTGGTCATGTGGCCGGCCATCCCCTCTGGAGCGGCAGAACCCGCTCCCCTTACCTTGAAGTCACTGGTGTTGGCGCCAAAGCTGATCCTGCCCATGTTCTCCAGGACCACATGCAGGGTGTCCCCTGCCCTGCCCGTCACATGTAAAGTTGTCTGCCCATCCCGCTCCAACGTCCCCTGGTACTCCTAAAGCCAAAAGTATGCTGGATCATACTCCGATCCCTCCACACCCAACGCTGCCAGCAGACACATAGCATCCTGCTGCCAGCCCTGCCAGAGCCAGCCCAGACCTGCCCTCAGCCCCTAACGGGGGCAAACTTGGGCCAGAGGGCCACCACACAATGGGTCAGTGTGGCTCTCAACACTGTCTGTCCCCAAGGCCTGGCACAACCCCACTGCCAGCAGGTCCCACAGCCCTCCTGAGCTGAGCTCCCACAGCCTCACCTTCTGCAGCATCACATAGCCACGGTCGCAGATGCTGTGGGGAGGAGCACGCAGTGGGACTGGGTCCGGGACATCCTGGGGCAGCTGTGTGTGGTACACCATAAAGCCGTGGGCCTGCAGGACACACACCGTGCAGCAGCACAGAAAGGGAAATAGGGCTGGAGATGAGCTCTGCTCCTCTGCCCCGGAGCCAGGGCTGGGCAGACAAGACTAGGAGCGTCTCCCCAAGTGTCCCCCACTACACCCAGCCCCTCACCTGCTTTATGGCCTCAAAGGTGAGGGGGAACTGGCTCTGGATGGGCCCAGAGGGGCAGAGCACATCCAAGACATCCAGGAGGTTAGCATACTGCAAAGAGAGGGATGGGTGCTGGGCAGTTGGGCAGTGCCAGGCTGGGGCAGCACAAGTCCTCAGGACATGCACTCACCTTCTGCAGGGACACCCAGCCGTAGGCATACTTGGGGGTGGCAGGTGGCATTGGACCAACTGGCAGGGGCTGGAACTGAACAGCAAACTGTCAGCTTCCCCCTGGGGCAAGCAGGGAGATGTCCCTTGCCCTGCTGTCACCTTCTGTCCTGGCACAGGCAGCAGTGTCTAATACCTTGCTGATGACTGTGCGGATGGCAAACAGCTTCTCAGTGGGGTCTCCTGCCTCTGAGAGGGGTGCATCATAGTCGTAGCTGGTGGTCACTGGTTTGTACTGGTCCTTGTAGTCAGCACCTGGCCAAGGCAGTAATGTGAGCTGGAGGAAGGGGCTCTGGCACAGCCTAGGGCATGGAACCCAGCCCCAGGCTGGCTGCAATGCAAAGAGAGGGGAATGACCCAGAACTGTGAGCCCCTGCCTGGGGACAAAAGGAGTCCCCAGGGGAGGACAAGCTTGGGTTCAGGGACCCTTAGCTGTGTCAGCCTCCCCCATGGGACAGAACAAGAGCCTGAAGTAGGCTCCTCAAGGATGGCCAAGGAAAGCCGCCCAGTCGCACAGTGCGCTCCCCTCCCTAGAGCAGGGCCCTACTCACCACTCCAGTAGGCAAAGTTCGTCCCTCCATGGAACATGTACCTACAATATACCCCAGAGAGCCTGGTCATCACCCCTACAGACCTGGTGGTGGCTCACCAGGTGCTGTCCCCTCCCTGCTGCACCCACAGCCTCAGCCCTGCCTGCCCAATCTCCATGGGATGAAGGTGAGCAGTGATGCCCACTCCCATGCTGGCTGTGCCCCCTGCCAGCTCACTACTTGCATGTTGACACTGGCTCCCAGCTGCAGCATGTCCTCCAGCCCCTGGGCCACCTGCATTGCACTGGTGCTGGCATGTGCCTCCCCCCAGTAGTCCAGCCAGCCTGTGTAGTACTCGGAGTTTACCTGGGGGAGAAAGGAACTGTCACCTGCCCAGAGCTGGGGCTCCTGGCACCCATCTCTCAGCCACGTCTCCCTTGCTCACCTGCAGCCTGGACCCAGCACCCCTCTTTGCCTCACTGCCCAGAGCCTCTGCCTCCCCAAAGCCATCATGGGTCATTCCACAGCACTCACACCAAGC